GAGTCTTACTGTAAACCAGGGCTTGTTGTTGTTGTATGTGCAGAAGGTATTTTTGGGCACACACACACAGAAGCTGATATAAGATGTCACAGTCAGTGAGTTTGTCCAGGTCTGTAGCTGCAGTCTCAAATACACTCCAGTCTCTGCAGTCAAAGCAGGCCAGTAGCTCTGACTTAGCCTCCTCAGTCCAGCTCCTCACTGTTTTGACCAGGAGGAGAGCTGGCAGCCTAGCAATAGCAGTCGAGCAGGCAAACTAGTAATAGCAGTCGAGTATGAAAACTAGCAATAGGAGTCAAGTATGCACACTAGCAATAGCAGTCGAGCAGGCAAACTGGTGAACAAGGGGCAGTGGAAACGAACAGACCAACAAAGGGAGAGATACGGAGCTGGGAACTTACACACATAAACATAGAACAACGACGGTTGCAGACTGACCGGGCGCAGAGTAAGCGGGGCTGCTGAGTTGCAGAAACAGGAACCAGTAGAATAGCATGAGACACGGAGTTGTTGGTCTCAGAAGCTGTTGTGCTAACCAGTTCTTGTTACCATTGCTAACTCAGAGACGAGGCAGTCCAAGTAACTTCAAAACAGTGCTGATTTATTCAAAGGATCACAGGTAAAATTAACATTACACGCTCAGGTATCTTGCACCTCCAAACTGTACGCAGGCAGATGAAAGATGAAAGACCCTGAACCCACCAAACCAGGCCTATACATTATATCTCTTCGGTTGGGCTAGCCCCATACTACCCAGAAACGTCAACCGCGACGTCTCTGGTGCCAACTTTGCAGCTGGCCATAGCAGTAGTCAAAACATGAAGCAAATCAATGTGTGTGTGTCTGTTGATTAAGTGGTGTGTAGCTAAAAACATTCTCACACGACCTCTAGTGACATGTCATGACATTAAACATAAGAAAATATTATGGCTAAGGCTACAGTTATACACATCATAATAATAATATTAAACATCCTGTCTGCTGACAGTCATCAACTTTTCTCTCTAGTTATCCTTGTCCAGATGTACCCTGTAGAAACTCATAAGCATGCCTAAGCATTTAACAGTCTAACTAGACATCCCATCTCCACTAAACATTTCTAATACATAAAGTATTGTTAGGTTATTTCTTAGTTAGATAGATATTCAGAGATTTGTTGTCTAGAAATGTTTAGTGGAGACAGGATGTCTAGCTCAGGCTGTTAAATGCTCAGTTCATTCTCATGTGCTTGCAGACTGCATCTAGGCGAAGGCTAATTAAATCATACAAAGGCTGCTGGCAAGGAGGGTTGTTAGTATTAACTGTAATTCCTAATCTTAATAATTGTCTTAATGTGAAATGTCATGTCAAATTGTTCTTAGATACACACCACAAATCAACAGCCACACACCTTGAACTTTCTTCATGTTTTGACTATCGTTATGGTCAGCTGCAAGCTGGCATATCAGGTGACGTCTCGGTTTGACGTGCCTGCGTAGTATGGGGCTAGCCCAGAATGATTAATATTGTATAGGTTTCTTGGTTCAGGGTTTTTCACCTTCCAGGCTGCCTGCGCGCAGGTTGGTGGTGGGAGAGATCTGGACGTGTAATGTTAATTTTACCTGTGATCCTCTGAATAAACCAGTACAATTGTTTTTTATAAAATCTAAAGTGGTCTACTTCGTCTTTTGTGAGTTCCTGGTTTAAAAGAGCTGGAAGAAGCTTTGTACATGAAACAGAGCTTATAGTATCTATCCAATATCTATCTGACTAAAAATACAAAGCACAAAGCAGCAGAGTGTGCAAAGTCAGTTAGTCCTGTTGACGAGAATAATTTTGTTCACCAGTATGGAGGACCAAAACTGCCATAA